TTTTATTTATTTTTTCATAAAAAAGTTTTTACCACAAAAATTTATCACAAATACATATACTATATATGAAATATTAAACAAATTGAAAATGAGTATTTATAACTTGCAAACTACTATATTTATATAACTACCTATTTGCTGCCAGCTACACCTACTACAACTGTATAGAGTACATATACATATACATATGTACATATATTTATCTATGGAATTTTATTTTCGAATAGTTAAAAAGTTATGGTTATTCTTCTTCGTTCTGTGCTGTGCTGTGTTAAGAAAGGCGCAAATATTTTAATATCAGTTTCCTTACCAACGGCTAGGTATTTTTTCTAAATCGAAATGCAATCATTCACGCTAACTTAAAAGCAGAAAGATAAGATAGCAATGCCGCTAGGCGCTGTAGTAAACATGGCAAAGAAAACAAAAAGTAATCGATTCGTTTACTTAAATAAATACTTCAAAGTGGTAAATTGATATTTACAACAAGCTGAAATACAGATAAATATATGAACACGTATACATACATATGTACGTATGTGTAAACGGACCCAAAAGGGGACCAATTAGGGTACCCAAACCCGCTTCAAAATACTGCTACATATTTTTACTTAGTATATAGAAATGTGATGCTGTGATTTGAACTTTGAAGTTTATTTAATATTACTAACCATTTTACTGATTCTGTGATGTTAAAAATCTATTCAAGATGGCAATATTAAATTTACTTTTCATCAATGAAGTTTTGTGTACTAAATTCTACTCTTAAATATGTTTAAATTTAATATTTTGGTTTTCTTATACGACAAACATATAAGATGTAACATTTCCGATTTTTTTCTGTTTTACTTTTTTCTTTATGAGGCAAAAATATTATCAAATATATCGAAATTAAGCACTTATCGTAAAGTCATGAAAGCTTACGTGAAGGTTTTATTTTTGTTTTTCCCCCATTTTTTCAATAGGTGGCAACTCTTTCTAAAAATAAAGAGTGTATACCTCAATTTAAAGTTGTCATATTAATTTCTTACATGCTTTATGCTTGTCAAAACTTTAAAAATACTAAAATTATTTTTATAAATATA